GTGGGTGTGGAGGTTGGTTGGCTCGCCCAGCTGGTTTGTTGTTCCGCAGATGTTTCGTTACCGTGCTTGGTAACACCCTCAGTGCAGCCTCTGATGAAGCGCCGGTGTGTTTTCCCGCCTGGCTTTTAAGCTCTGGGGTCCGTTGCGATGGATTGCCTCACTTCCGGGTTTCCTCCGTAGTGGAATGTATATGGGTCGAGTTCAATGTGTTTATTAATAGCCTGCTTCGTGGAGTGCCATGCTTCCAGGAATTCTCGTGCTTGTCTCTGCCTAGCCTGTCCCAGGATCTTGGTGTTGTCCCAGTTGAAGTTGTGGTTCTCCTTGTCCATGTGGATTGAGATGAGTGAGCATTGGTCGTGTCTTTTTGTAGCCAGTTGGTGTTCATGTACTCTTGTTGTTAGTTTTCTTCCTGTTTGTCCGATGTAGTGTTTCTCGCAGTCTCTGCAGGGGATCTTGTAGATGACATTGGTCCTGTCCATGGCGGGGAGTGGGTCTTTAGTTCGGGTGAGCACTTGTCATAGGGTTGATGTGGGCTTGTGTGCCACTCTGATGCCCAGCGGTCGTAGAAGTCTTGTGGTGAGTTCTGACGTGTTCCTGATGTAGGGTAGTGTGATGAGTGTGTCGGGGCGTGCAGAATCTTTCTGATGCTGTTCCTGTAGGCATCTCCTGACCCAGTTCTTTGGATATCCATTATCTTTGAACACTTGGAAGAGGTATTCCTCCTCCTGTTGGCGTAGTTCCATGTTGCTGCAGTGTGTTGTTGCCCTTTTAAATAGTGTTCGCACGCAGCTTCGTTTGTGTGTGCTGGGATGGTTACTATTGAAGTTCAATGCCTGGTCTGTGTGTGGCTTTTCGGTGTACTTTCGTTTGCAGTTCCCCATTTGTCTTGCGCTCTACCATGATGTCCAGGAATGGGAGTTGTTTGTTCTTCTCCTCCTCTCCGGTGAATTTTATTCCGGTGAGGGTGTTGTTTGAGTTTGTGTGTCTCTTCTAATTTGGTCCGTTTAAAGATGACAAAGGTGTCGTCTACATAGCGTATCCACAGTTTAGGTTGGATTTACAGAAGGGCAGTCCTTTCCAGTCTTTGCATCACTGATAGAGACCATGATATTGTTCGATGTCACTGCCCTATCCACGTCAATAGACATACCACTAGCAAGGGAAACAATGACAACACAACTTGTTCAAGAATATGACCCCAGTGAAACCATCTCCAAGGACAACATGCTTAAACTACTGGACCTATGCCTGACCACCCACTTCACCTTCAACGGCCAAACATACAAGCAAATCAACGGGACACCCATGGGATCGCCTATCTCAGGACTCATAGTGATGCAGTGATGCAAAGACTGGCAAGGACTGCTCTGAAGAAGGGTCTCGACCCGAAACGTCAGCTTTCCTGCTCCTCTGATGCTGTTTGGCCTGCTGTGTTCATCCAGCTCTACACTGTGTTATCTCATTTATCACTGCTGATTAGTTTCTGACTCTTAGCCAATTTTGTATTCATAATTTCACAGCTCTTCTACTTCTCTATGTTTCAATATCCTAACAAGCCTATTTTGCATTATTTTGGCACATGCCTTTTGAAAGTCCCTATGCACAATATCAGAGGCATAACCGTCACCAAACCTCTCAATTACTTTATCAAAAAACTCCAATCAAAATAAGAGTCATGATTAACTCTCAACAAATTTATGTTGACTTTTATCGATCATACTTTTGCCAATGGCAGTTCGTTTTGGTCAAGATTTGTGTCTTAAAAGTTCCTTCACCACAGATACCAAGGTTTTACATGCCAGGTTTATTTCACATTGGTGTTTGATTTTTCTTTTTAAATAATGCAGTCCTTTGGCACTTCTTGCATGTGTAAAGAATTGGAAGATTGTGAAATTTGCTTCCTATATTGCTGAGTCATGTAGAGTGCATCTCATCCTGGCTGGCTAACCTTTCTACTTTGAGGACTGCCAACGTTTTAAGTACAAAGTGAATACCTGATTATGACTAATATCCTTGCCAATGTTTTTATTCAAATGGCTAGTTCAGTATAATAAAAGATAAGAAAGTAACTGCTTTGTTATTATCTCATCTGTCAATACCTTCTGGTGCTAGACAGAGTTGAGATTGTGGACCATTTTGAAGCAGCAATTTATATTCTTCCTCTTAAAAATTCATAGTGGGTGTAATTTCAAAGACTCGACATCTCAGGAGGAACAATCCTGAGGTTGCTATTTGAAGAAGAATATTGGTCATCAGAGGGCGTACAACCTGTTCTTTTATTTGATCATCTTGATTTGAGATTCTCCTGATGTGAAATGAGTGACATACCAATGTGGTAGTCTGAGTGTTTTATTTGCTCAGCAAGCTGATTGTTCTGTCTCATCATGATCTTGAATCTTGAAGAAAACCAGTTCCACCACACATACAGTTTTTGGTTTTCGTTCATTTTGGGAGGAACACATTGTCCATATAATTTTATGGTTACAGATTATGGTATGAAATGTCAACATGAATGTGGCAGCTCTGTTCCAACCTGCAGTCACATGACATTTCTGCTTAGATAATGGCTTCACTTTCAGTACTTGTATAGACTGGTCACATTCAGAAGCTTTAAGATTGGGTTATAATAATAATTAGAATTAAGATAAATGGTTCTATAAAGTTTAACAATCCTGGTCTCCAACTGTGAAAGTCTGTAACCTTCATTTTAATCAATGTTTGATTTAATTTTTAATATAAAATAAAAGCAAAATACTGGAGCAACTCAGCAGGTCTGGCAGTTTCTGTGGGGAGAGAAACAGAATGATGTCTCATGTTCAATGACTCTTCTTCTGAACATGTTTTTCCTTGATTAATGTTTGCCTGCCAATCATTTCCAAATTATTTGGGCCAGACTTGTTCTCTAATTGTTGAAGTTGGCCCTGCCCTAGTTTATTATTTTTACTTTGGATTCCTCTTTGTCTTCTCCACAGCCAAAATAAACCTGTTCTGTAGCTACTTTATAAGTTGTGCACCTCTATGTAAATTCCTAAAGTTCTCCATCCCTTTCCTACCCTTTGGTTGGAGAATTCAGAATGCCCTGAGCAATGTAATCATATTGCCACAATGTCATATTTTTGATATGGTTCAGCTAATCGAAGCTGGAACCTATTCAGCCATGTAATTTAAAACTATAATTCAAACTGCTTATTATGGTAAAAGATTAAAGATAAACCCCAGAGGCAAATTAAATAATTCACAATGTTTGAAATTTTTAGGTTGTCAAAGCACACGTGGTACATTTAAGTCTTCACTTAAAGTTGTAGTTGAGTTCCTGGAAAATGTAACTTTAAGTAAAAACAACTTAAGTGAATCAGATATTCCCACTAAAACCAATGTTAAATTTGTGACTTGGTGACATAAGCCTTTCCCATCAGAAAAATAGTTCAAATATTATGAACTAAGAGGTGAAGTATTCTATGTTGCTAAGTTCCTATATAAGTAAATGAAATAACATTTGCATTTTAAAATTTATTTTATTGTAAGAGAAATACGCTAACTTTTACTTACTTTCTACTTGTTGAACCTCCCGCTTGCCACTCCATCTCATTCCCTAATCCTGCCAGTCACTGCAAACCTTCCTGTTACAACCCTCTGGTCTGGGGACTGTGCCACTCCGTGTATTCTACCTTGTCACAACATCTCTGTCTCTCCCGCTCCCAGTTAATGGTCCATTAAGGCTGCTGCCACTGGTATTTTTCCAGTGGGACAAATGCCCATGCTAAATGGTGAGGCTTCCAGATATACTTCAGTTGTCTAGCTGCAAGCTTAGGAACATAGGAAGGGGTCTCTTCTGCTTCACTGCTCTGCATTTACACCTCTAGAATCGTTAGTTCAGTTGACTGATGGCTGATTTGCAATGCAGAGTGATGCCAATATCTTGTGTTCAGTTCTTACACCAGCTGAGGTTACCTTGAAGGACTGTCCTTCTCAACGTCTCCTGAGGCGTGGTGACTCTCATGTTAAACCACCACTAATCGTCTCACTCTAATGCAAGAGCATCCCTATGTTCTGGTAAGCTGATGGTGACTTTACCTTTACCTTTACTTGCATGCTTGTTCCATTTACCATCTTCCATCCCTTTACTGACGGTCGAGAGTAAACTGATGGAGTGGTAACTGGTCTGATTGGATTTGTATTGCCATTTTGTGTACAGGACATGCCTGGGCAATTTTCCACATTGTTGATGGATGCCAGTGTTGTAATTGGACTGGAACAGCTTGTCCGAATGTTGCCAGAGCCGTCGACTTTGCAGTATTCAACATTTTCAACCATTTTTAGATATTGGAATGAATAAATTTGGTTGAAAATTGGCACTTGTGATGCTGCAGACTGCTGAAAGAGGCTGACATGGATCATCCATTTGGCATCTGTGGCTGAAGAAGGATGCAAGTGCATCAGCCTTATCTTTTCACTGATCTACTTGACTCCCATATCATTGTGGATAGGAAAATTTAGGGAGCCTCCACCTCCTAGCAGTTATTTAGTTGTCCACCACTATTCATAATGGATATGGCAGGACTTTAGAGCTTAGATTTGATCGAGGATCACTTTGCCCAGTTATTTGTGTGCTATTTCCTCTGTATGGCATGCAAGTAGTCCTGTTCTGCAGCTTCACCAGTTAGCACCTCGTTTTTGGGGTGTTTGGTGATGCTCCTATCATGCCCTCATGCAGTTTCTATTGAACCAGTATTTATCTCCAGCCTTGATGGTAATAATAATGAGAGATGTGCTAGGCCATAAAATTACAGATTATAGCCGAATACAGTTCTGTTGCTGCTGGTGATTGCACATAGCCCCTTATGAATTGCTAGTTTTAAATTGTTGGATCTGTTTTTGAAGTCTGGCCCATTTAGTACAGTGATAATGCCTCTCAACTTGAGATAGCATCCTCGACATGAAGATTGAGGTGGCAGCTGCAGCTTTGGCTGTCTGGCGGGCCTGGACCGGGACTCCTAGTGATGTCGATGAGGTGGCAGCAGCAGAGCCAGGGACTCGTGGAGCATTGGCTGGACCCTGAATGGGAACTCATTGCAGCCAGGAGACCGGAACACCGTACAGAAACCCCAGTCTCAAGAAGGACTGTAAAGTTGCATATTATTTCTTATTTTTCTGCCTTTATATTTTTCAGTCAATTGAACAGAAAATTAAGCTCTATTTAAGGAATTTCTTTTTATTTATTTTGTAATACAAAATGGCATTGGCTTATGGCGATAAAATTTTCCCAAATACATGTGACAATAAAATCATTTGTTCAAGATAGGATTTCAGCTCCACAGGACTATGCGGTGAGCATTCTTACCAATACTGTCTTGAATATTTGCATCTGTGAAAGTTAGTTTGGTCATGATAAAATTTAAGTATGTTTTTCCATCTTGTTGATTACCTTATCACGTACCGCAGACCTTTAGGACCCAACCAGCTCCACCTTGCTGAGTCACTCATGGTGGTTGACCTTGAAGTCCCCCATCTAGAGGACATTCTGAGCCATCCTCCATGCTTCCTCCAAGGCTTGATCAATGTGCATAAGCACTGATTCATCAGCTGAGAGGGTAGCAGTAGGTGATGATCAGCAGGAGGTTTCCTTGCCCATGTTTAAGCTGATGTCATGAGATTTCACAAGATCCAAAGCCAATGTTACAGATTCCCGGGAAAACTCTATAGCACTGTGCTGCTACCTCTGCCTGGTTTGTCTTTCTCCTGCTCCTTTCATTTCAACTTCCCCAACTCTTCCTCTACATCTCTCCATTCCCCACTCTTCCTCTTTGTTACTCCCCTGTTCTTCTTACACACCCTATACTCTTATCCCTTTCTCACCCTCTTCCTGTCCATTCCTCCCTGTACCCCTCACTCTTCTATCTAGTACCTGCCTTGTCTCCCCTCATGGTCTTTGGTTAATAATCCACATGCTATTTGTTGCATTTTTTCTTCTCATATTCAATGCTCTGGGGAAATTTACAATTAATTTTCATATTAGGAAATTATGTTGTGAGATCTTAAACCTGTTTTCTTTCCCAAAGAAAGATTGTGTATCCCAAAATAGCTGCAGCCAGTATTCTGTTTAAAGAGAAAGTGGGCCAGATTCCAATGTTTTGATTCTGCGTCGACAAGATTAGATATCTTGCATTGTGTTGAAATTCTTCTGTGTTGTTCGGTTAACTGCCACAGTCAATTTCATTTCTCCAAGTTGTTTAGGACAATGTCTCAAAGTGATCAGGATATCTCATTTTGAAAGGTGTCACAAATGTACGTTTTCTTACTCGCATCTGAGCACAGCTCCATTTCCTAGCTCATGTTTTGCATCTCCCCGAAGAAAACGTGCATGTTCTGTAAGACGAACAAAATCCTAATAAATGTTCAATCTTGTACAAAATTATTGCTCTCTTTCACCCTACTAAAGCTGGACTACTTAACGGGTGGAAGCTATAACCATAGAGTGTTCCTGCAGTTGAATGCTAAGAGATTCAGGGGGACTTTATATGATTCGTTTTCTCTAAATTCTGAAAAAAACATAAATATGAAGAATCTATTTTTCTGTGATAAATTCACATTTTTCCCTTGTTTATTCTTGGCAGCACTTTCAGCAGCACAGCAGAAATTCGCTCGATCACTTGGGGAATTTTCCTTTGAGTTTATTGGAGATGCTGAGACAGATGATGAGCGGTGCATTGGTAAGGGGTCTCATTATTTTTAGTGGAGATTTTAATTTCATTTTCTGGCTTTTCATACACCAGAAATTGCAGTGCAGCTGAGTATGATGCCTGCTTTTAAAAATGTAGTGAATGACAGCTGTAATACACTACACTTGGAGAAACCTTTTGAAAAAGTATTAAACATTATGAACTTGGGGGGTTATAAATCTGTCTTTAATAAACCTATTTTGCAAATACTTCTGTAGGCTTTAAAGGTTAGATCAGAAGTTGCTCCTATGTTCTGTCTTAGCTCAAAACCACATTTTAAAAGTGTCTAGGAGCATTAACCTTTTTAATTACTTCTGTATATGCATATTTACACTCTGGCCTATCTATATAACTCTTCAGCTATGGAAGAGTATCCATGCATCAACAATACAGGTTGAGAGCAAAGTAACTTCTGCATCATGTAACTTGTTTATACACTTGATGTTGTTGTAATAACTCAGTATATTCTCTTAGAGGTTCAAAACGAACAAATTCTTAGCAGGTCAGCTTTAATGGTGTCAGGTAGAACACTTGCATTTGAAAGCCAGTGATAAAATTACATTGGGATAAGACTGAGTTCACAATTAAACATACCTAAAATATGTGATCTTCACACTTATTTTGTTCAGTCCCATTCTATCATTTTACAGAAGATTGTTGATAAGTTTTTAACTGAATGGAATTGATTTACATATGGCCCCCATATGAATTGGGTTTGCCAGCTCTTAATATACTCCTTGCAGTTCAACATGTAATTGCTTTTGAATTTCTAGATGTTGTATCCCTGTAGTTAAATGTCTTTGCTTGAACAAAAATCAATAAATGCAAAAATAATCAAAAGCTACCCTTGTTTAAAGTTTTCAAGAAGATTTGTAGCTTGGGTTATGGATGAGGTGGTGGACATGCTCGCCGAGCTGGCAGGTTTGGTTGCAAATGTTTCGTCATCCTGCTCGGTAACATAGTCAGTGCACCTCCGGTGAAGCGTCGGTGTTCTCTCCCGCTTGTTATTTATATGCCTCGGTTTGCTGGAGTGGTTGGTGTTACTTCCAGTTCTGTTTCTCAGTTTCTCACTCCAGCAAACCTATAAATAACAAGCAGGACAGAACACCGATGCTTCACCGGAGGTGCACTGATGATGTTACCGAGCAGGGCAACGAAACATTTGCAACCAAACCTACCAGCTCGGCGAGCATGTCTACAACTTCAGATAGCCTTCTTGTGTAAAAATAAAATTTCATGTATTTTGCATTTTTTAACATTATCATCTTATCTCTTTTTAAAACTAAACAAATGGATTAAGAGGTACACATTTTTAGCCTGGTTGTTTCAGGAACTTATTAGCCCAAGTGCTACATGCAGGAAGGGGAGAGGAGTTGAATTATTTAATTTTTCATCTGTCTTCGAGCAGAGAATTTTTAAGAGTTTTCTAATTTCCTTTCTCAAAGAGGGTTGTGGTGTGTTCCCCCAGTTAAATTGTACTCCAGCGCAATCTGCAACCTCCTGGCCCGGCATATCCCCCATTCAACAATTACCATCAAGCCAGGAGGTCAACGTTTTTTACTGGAGAGTGCAGGAGGGCATGTAGGAGCAGCACCAGATGAACCTATGAAGAGATGTCAACCTGGTGAAGCTACCAAACATGCTAAACAGCAAGTGATAGGTGGAGCTAAGTGATCCTATAGCCAATGGATCCAATCTACGTTCTGCAGTCCTGCCACATTCAGTCATGAATGGTGGTGGACAATTAAACAGCAGGTTCCTAAAATATCCCCATTTTCAATGACGGAAGAGCCAGATACATTAGTGAAAAAGATAAGGCCAAAGCATTTGCAGCAGTCTTCAGCGAAAACTGCCAAGTGGATGATCCATCTCGGCCTCCTCCAGTGGTCCCCAGCGTTACAGACACCAGTTCAGCCAATTCGATTGACTGTACGTGATATCAAGAAACATTGAGGCACTGAATACTGCAAAGGCCATGGACCCTGTCAACATTCTGGCAATTGTACTGAAAACTTGTGCTCCAGAACTTACTAACCCCCAGCCAAGTTGTTTCAGTTCAGTTACAACACTGGCATTTACCTGACATTGTGGAAAATGCTCAGGTATGTCTTGTACACAAAAAGCAGGACAAATCCAACCCAGCCAAATACCATCCCATCAGTCTCCTATTGATCATCTGTAAAATGATGAAAGATGCCATCAACAGTGCTATGAACAACATCTGCTCAGTAACAACCTGCCCAGTTTGGGTTCGTCAGGGCCAATCAGTTCCTGACAGTTCAAACATAGACAAAAAATAAACAGAAGAGATGAGGTGAGAGTGACAGCCCTTAACATCAAGGCCACATTTGACTGAGTGTGGCATCAATGAGCCTTAACAAAACTAGAATTAGTGAGTGTCGGGGCAATCTCTCTACCAGTTGGAGTCATACCTCTGCAACCATCTTCGTACGTGCACTGTTGGAGGTCAGTCATCTCAACTCCAAGACATTTGTGCAGGAGTTGCTCAGGGTAATGTGTTAGGTCCAACCATCTTCAGCTGCTTCATCAATTACCTTTTCTCCATCATAAGGTCAGAAATGGGAATGTTCACCAACGATTGCCCAGTGTTCAGTACCATTCGCGACACCTCAGATTCTGAAGCAGCCCGTGTTCAAATGCAACAAGATCTGGATTGTTTTCAGGCTTGGGCTGACAGGTGTCAAGTAATGTGCCTGGCATTCGTGGGGCATGAAATGACATTTCCAATAAGAGACAATATATTCACCACCCCTTAACATTCAGAGGTGTTACCGTCACTGAATCCCTGAATATCAACATCCTGGGGGTTACCATCAACAAGAAACTCAACTGGACTCACCATATAAACACAGTGGCTACAAGGACAGGTTGAAGGCTTGGAATACTGCATTGAGTAATTCACCACCTGGCTCCCTAAAGCCTGTCTACCATCTACAAGGCACAAATCAGGAGTATGATGGACTATTCCCCACTTGCCTGGATGGGTGCAGTACCAACAACACCTTGAAGCTTGACACCATCCAGGGCAAAGCAGCTGGCTTGATTGGCACCACATCCACTAGCATCCACTCCCTCAACTGACGCTCACTAGCAGCAGTGTCTACTATTTGAAAGATACATTGCAGAAGTTCACTAGAGATCCTAAGATGGAACCTTCCAAACCCACGACCACTTTCATTTAGAAGGACATGGGCAGCAGATACATGGTAACACCACTGACTGCAAGTTCCCCTCCAAAGTACTCACTGTCCTGACTTAGAAATGTGTTGTCGTTCCTTTACTGTCACTGGGTCAAAATCCTGGAGTTCTCTTCCTTTAGGGCATTGCAGGTCAACCTACACCAGGCATACTGCAATGGTTCAAGAAGGCAGATAACCACCACCTTCTCAGGGCACTAGGGATGGGCAATAAATGCTGGCCAGCCAGTATTGCCAATGTCCCATGAGCAAATTTAAAGGAAAAAACCCTGTAAACTCCAATGTAAGAATAATGCAATGCCTCACTGTGGTAGTATGCTGGAAATTGAGTCCAGCTATTCCCTGTGTCATCATAAAAATGTAAGTTTTTAGAAGAAATACACAAACATCCTCAGGCTGCGTGATTTTCAGACCCAGTTAGAAAGCATAGACTAGATTTTTGTATTTAATAAGAATTATTGTTTATTACAGATGATTAGATTCTAGCTACAGGTAAACAATTAAACTAAATTAAGTAAACTCTACAAATTAAATCTCTTAACTCATTATAGACTCCTCCTTACACATACATGCAGACAAACAAGCAGGGCAAAAACGCCTGGGCAAAGGGAAAACTGGGAAAACAGTTCCATAGTCTTTGTTCACAGGATTTGTTAGTTCTTGCTGTTCCAAAGGTTTGTCTTTGATCTTCCTTTTTCTGGCTACTTCTGTTTGTTTGCAAGAGGCACTGGATGCTTGGTTCACTAATGAAGGTCTCTGACTTATCCACTTCAAAGTCACAAATTGCAGCATTTGCTGTAGTAATAATCAGCTGGTTTTCTTCTGGTTTAAAGTGGCTTACTGCAGAGAATTGAGAGAGGGTCTTTTGGCTGCTGCAGATCTGCTGGTTTCACTTATGGTCTGACTAGTTTGTTTCTGTTTATTTGCAACCCAGGCTCTTCAGCTACCAATCACATAGCTGTTGGCAGGCAGAGGACCTTTGATATTGATAACTGGTGACTAGCCCACATCAATCAGCTTCACTTGTAAACAAACCTAAGTCCCTGTTCATCTGCATATTGCTGGAACCCACAACTACACAAGCAAAGTTCACAATATGTATCAAAGCCCTTCATTTCAAAACTTGTAAATCCGTGGTTTTAAAACATTTCTTTATCATTTTAGTCCATAGTTTTTAAAAAAAAGTCATAAAAATAAAAAAGCATCATCTTTACAATGACCCAGAACAAACTCTTTAAAGCAGAAGTACGATGTATTCATGTATTCATATCTGGGAGTTGGTTGTGAGGCAGTAGTCTAGTCTAGAGATAGTAGGAACTGCAGATGCTGGAGAATCAGAGAGAACAAGGTGTAGAGCTGGATCAACACAGCAGGCCAAGCAGCATCAGAGGAGCAGGAAAGCTGACGTTTTGGGCCTAGACCCTTCTTCAGAAATAGGGGAGGGGAAGGGGGTTCTGAAATAAATAGGGAGAGGGGGGAGGCGGATAGAAGATGGATAGAGGACAGGATAGGTGGAGAGGAGACAGATAGATCAAAGAGGCGGGGATGGAGCCAATAAAGGCAAGTGCAGGTGGGAGTTAGGGAGGAGATAGGTCAGTCCAGGGAGGACGGACAGGTCAAGGGGGCGGGATGAGGCTAGTAGGTAGGAGATGGGGGTGGGGCTTGGCGTGGGAGGAAGGACAGGTTAGGGAGGTGGGGACGAACTGGGCTGGTTTTGGGATGCGGTAGGGGGAGGGGAGATTTTGAAGCTTGTGAAGTCCACATTGATACCAT